GCGTGCGCATGTGCAGACCTGGCCAATCAGTGCGTAGCGCAGTCCTAGCCAATCAGTGCGCAGCGTCTCCAGGAACTTCCTGCTCGGGTGCCAGGACTTCCTGCCAGTGTTGCTGGGTTCCGAGGGGGGACTGTGAAAATGCCTTTTCTGGGGCCCTTTCGCTGAAACCTCTCCGAGGGCTCTGCGACTTTCTATGCTGTCTTCGAGGTCCCGCTCCTCCGTGATGCCTCCGCAGTCCCACTCGTGTTCAGCCACGGACCCCCGACTCGCGGAAATGAGTCGTTTGTTGTGTGTAGATGGAGTTCTGTTTCTCTGGTCGGGAGGGGGCAGTGTTGCTCCACGCACCACAACTGCTCGCCTCTTCCCCCGCCCTTGCTTCTTAAAAAAAACGGTGGGGAACTATGATAGGACACATCTTTCTGCAAAAAATGGAGCTTGGCCTCTGAGATTATGGGGGCCTCACTGATCTTGAGGCAACTTGCTACCTTAGGAGGTATCTCTAGAGAAAACGTTGTGCCCCCTGCTTCCTCAATTTTTATTTCTCCTCTGAATGGGCCTCAATGGTTTCCCCCAGTTGTTCTGACCCTTTATCATTATGTTCTTCAGATCCATTAGTCACTCAAACCTCACTGTAGAAATTTGGAGGACTGATGAAATATAGTCATCTAAACCACAGTCCCATCACCCATCAATGACCATGAACAATACTTAGTGATGAATTTTCTTAGAGACTTTTCATACATGAAGGTGCTTTGTGTAAAATTCATATTGCTTTGTCAATTCAACATCTTTTATTAAACTGAGATTTTTCACATTAGTTACCTTTAGGAGAAATCATCTGAAAAGACTTTAACATTTTAAAATTCATTTCTCTTCCTAAAAGTACATATAGTCTAAAAGACTAAAAATTATATTTAAAGGCTGACATAAAAAGCAGAAATGACCCCCTGACCTGTAATTTTCCCAAAGACCAGAGCTATATTTTTGCTTTGTTTTTGCTCACACCTGTATTTTCAAGAGGTCAAGAAATAAGTGCCCACTGCAAGAGAAACCATCTACCAAGTGAAAAGACGACCTCAGGCATGGTAACAAATCTTTGCAAACCACATATGTGACAAGGGATTAATATGCAGACTATAGAAAGAGCTCACAGGAGTATTAGCAAAAATCCAAGTAACCCAATTTTAAAAGTCAGCTTAAGACCTGAATAGACTTTTATCCAAAAAGCTATAGGAGAGGCCAACAGATACATGAAAAAAATGCTCAAGATCTCTAGCCATTAGGGAAATGCAAATCAAAACCACAATGAAATGTCACTTCATGGCGGTTAATGTGTCTGCCATCCCAAAGGCAAGAAGATAAGTCTAGTAAAGAAAGACCAGTCTTGGCTTTTTTGTGGTGATTTCTTCTTAAGGTATATAAATACCGAATAACTATGTTGTACACCTGAGACTCACATAATATTGCACATCAACTATACGTTAATATTTTTTTATATAACAAGGAACAAAACACCGCTAGTGTGGATGTGCATCATAGGGAACTCTTGTACATTGTTGGTGGGAATTTAATTGCTCCGGCCACTATGGAAAACATTATGCAGGGTCCCCCAAATACTAAAAATAGAAGTATCGTATTATCCAGCAGTTCTGCTTCTGGGAATATATGCAGAAAAACAAACAAAGAAAAAGGAAACACAAGCTAGAAAAGATATATGCACCCTCAAGTTCATAGGAGTGTTTTTTACAATAGCCAAGATATGCAAGCACCCTAAGTGTCCACTGATGGATAAGTGGGAAAAGTTTGTAGCACTGGAATATTATTCAGCCAATAAAAAGAAGAAATCCTACCATTTGCAACCATATAAATGGACTTTGAAGGCATTATGCTAAGTGAAATAATTGAGAGAAAAAGAAATCCTGTATGATTTCACTTATATGTGGGATCTTTACAGAAAAGTCCTAGAAACGGAGATCAGACTTGTGGTTGCCTGAGGCGGAGAGTGGGGGAAAGGGAAACTGGAGGAAGGTGATCAAAAGGTAGAAACTTGAGTTATAAGATAAAAAAGGGCGAGGGATATAATGTAAACATGAGTACTGTAGCTAACACTGCTGTATAATACATAGCAAAGTTGTTCAGGGAATAAATCCTAAGGATTCTCACCACAGGGAGAAAATTGTTCTCTTTTCTTCTCTATTTTCTTTTTATGGCAATATTTTTTTAATCTTTTAAAAAAATATACTTTATTGATTTTTTACAGAGAGGAAGGGAGAGCGATAGAGAGATAGAAAAATCGATGAGATAGAAACATCATCAATTAGCTGCCTCCTGCATGTCACAACCCAGGTACATGCCCTTGACCGGAATCGAACCAGGGACCCTTCAGTCCGCAGGCCGACGCTCTATCCACCGAGCCAAACCGGTTTCGGCTTTTATGGCAATATTCTGTGAGCAGGAGAAGATGGATGTTAGCTAATCCTATTGTGGCAATCATTTCACAATATATGTAAACCAAATGATCATGCTGTACACCGTCAAATTACACAGTGATGTGTGCCAATTCTTTCTCAATAAAACAGGGGGAAGCAGTGTGTTCTCAGTACACTTTTTTTTTATTAAAGAAATGAGCACCTATTAATTTCCTTCAGGTTCTTGAGGGGGAAGCAGTGTGTTCTCAGTATACTTTTTTTAAAGAAATGAGCACCTATTAATTTCCTTCAGGTTCTTTTCTTTGTAAATACTGAACTGTTCCCTAATGCTGGGATGATATGTATGAAACACCTCCTACATGGCTTCCCCCACCCCCCTCCTTTCCATTGAGGACTCGATTGTGAGCAATAACTATGTCATACATGCTTTGAAAAGTTTTGCCGGCTCTTTTACCCTCTTCCCCCGTGAGTCTTTTATTAGCCTCTGGTGTTGGGGGCAGGAAGGCATCCTGCAAAGCAGTGTGCGATCTTTAGCGTTGGACTGAACTTTGGGGCCCTCTGTGAGGAGCCCCGAGACCCCTGACTGTGTGCCAGCTTCCACAGGTATCAGATGAGGGCGGGAACAGCCTGTGCTTCACGGGGTGGTGGCCAGCATAAATCCCCCAACAGGGCGGAGCTGGGCAGTTGGAGATGTCATGGCACCACTGCTGGTGCTATCTGCAATAGTCCGTGTAATGCGTGTAGCCGGTACAGAGTTTCCAGCCACAAGCCCAAGTGTGATAAAAGGCAGGCACTCTTGCCCTAATCGGTTTGGCTCAGTGGACAGAGCATCGGCCTTCGGACTGAAGGGTCCCGGGTTCGATTCCGGTCAAGGGCATGTACCTTGGTTGTGGGCACATCCCCAGGAGGGGGCGTGCAAGAGGCAGCTGATCGGTTTCTCTCTCATCGATGTTTCAATTTTCCCTGTAATGCGTGTAGCCGGTACAGAGTTTCCAGCCACAAGCCCAAGTGTGATAAAAGGCAGGCACTCTTGTAATTTACATGCAGCAGGTGACTTCAACTGGCCACTCTGCTTTGTGGGAGGAAGACTCAATAGTGACTTGGAGGGAAATTCAATGAAGAAGATATATATGAGGAAAGCACATTGATACCTTCCTCAAAGACTACCCCCCGGAATGTGAAAAGCATGTTGTGGTGCATCCATATTTTAACCGCCTCGGGTTGTTTAGAATAGAGTTTCAGAAGTAGAGTTCTGGATTGAAGGCGTAAACACGCAACAGGCTTGGTGCGCACTGCAAGAAACACAGATCCATTTGTCTTGCCACCCACATTCTGTGAGAATTCTTGTTCCTTCATACTCACACCAGAACCTGTTTGTGTTTTGAAAATACTCAGCGCATTTCCTTTAACAGTTGTATGTATAGAAAGAGACCGCCATTCTGTCATATATGGTGCAAGTTCTTTTCCTGTTGTTGTGTGTGTGTGTTGTTGTTTTCCTCTTAGTTATGTCTGTGGCTTTCAGATGCAGGGATAAATTTACTTACTTTATGTAGCCATATCTACAGGGTCATTTTTTCCCTGCGTGGCTTCACTCTTTGGTACAAAACTGACAAGGCCCTTCCTAATCTGCCTGTCCGGTTATTTTCATCCCTATTTTTTTTAACTCCATTCCCCTGCCTACCTCCAACTAAGGGGAGACCCAGAACAAATGACACTTCACAGTAGCCAACACATTAGAGAGGATTTCTCCATTTTTTCCCTGCGTGGCTTCACTCTTTGGTACAAAACTGACAAGGCCCTTCCTAATCTGCCTGTCCTGTTATTTTCATCCCTATTTTTCTAACTCCATTCCCCTGCCTACCTCCAACTAAGGGGTGACCCAGAACAAATGATACTTCACAGTAGCCAACACATTAGAGAGGATTTCTCCTTCCCAGGCCCCTAATGGACCTTTCCTCTGTGCTTATGGACTAGTGGTATTAGCACCCGTAGATGCTCCTCTATAAACTTCTCCCTCAATTGTGGCTTTAGCTTTCTCTTACCTCAAATGTTCTACCGCAGATTCCGACTCAGAAGGTCGCCCAAGCATGAAGATTATTTTAAACTCCACACACAAAGGCACAGTATTTTCAAAGAAAAGAACCTGGCAGCTGTGGGAACAAAACTCGTCTTCAGAACAGATGGCAGGGGCAAGGGTTGGAGGGGTTGGGGCAGGGCAGGTAAGAGAGGATTTGACTTCAAAGAACAAGACAGTGGTAGTTTCCACTGACCAGACTTGTTCTACCATTTCCATGCTAAAGGTCACTTGAGTTTGGCAGACAAGGCTTGCATGAAACCCACTTGTTGTGTGTGTCTTCTCCCAACCTGGCTTGGCCCCACAGGGATGGCCAACTGCTCCCTTGATCCTGTTGGGAGGGGATGGGAGTTTACAAATCCCACTGAGGTGACCCGTCACATATCCACTCCATTACTTTTCCCTCCGGGTGTAAAGGAAATTCTTCACTTGGGAATGTAACAGTAGGAAGCTGTAGCCCACCCACCATTCTTTTCACATTCTTTCTGTAAATGCAGCTGGTAGATAAGCTGCATGTTTGTCCAAGAATCCTGGGAACTAACTTGAAAACATACAGAGTGTGTCCTTCAGTCATCCCAGTTCCCAGGGAACTGCTGACCTTCCGCCCCAGAGCCAGCATGATGAGGACCAGCATGACGCACACCAGACCATCACTTGACAGGTTTCAAGATGCTTATCGGCGTGTACCGTGCTGGCCACCACGTACCACTTTGCAACCCCTGCCCTCGATGTCTTTGTTCTGCTTTCCTCTCTCTGCCTGTAAAATCCCTGCCTGCACTGAGATGGGGTCATGTGGCGATGGGCTTTGAGACAAGAGTCCCTGTTTTCCCAGGTGTCCCACACTCAATGGACCACTTTGCTTTTCACCAGCATCTGTCTCAGGAGTTTACCTGGCCGAGGTAAAAAAAAATATGACTTTAAGAAATGGGAATGACATAGGAAAATGCTCATGTGCCAAGGGCCAAATATAAAAATAAAACACCATGTAGAAAAGTCTTTGTGCATTATAATCAAGTACAGTGTGGCCTTGACTTACGAGTTTAATTCGTTCTGAGACTGAGTTCGTTAAGGAGCTCATTAAGGAGCTCGTTAACTCAAAGTACTCTATCAACTGAATGCAAAAAATCAGCGGAGAGACAGCTGGTATCTCAAAAAACTCGTTAGTTGGGACACTCGTAAGTCAAGGCCCCACTGTACTAGGGAAAGATGGGTTATACATATTTAAAGAAAAAGGATCGGAAAGTAAAACTTGAAAACATCTCCCAATGTTTACTGAGCCCGGCTAAGTGCTGGTACTCCTCCTGGTGCTGAGGGAAGAGTGCAGCCCACCCGCACTGCAGCCCCTGCGCTCACACACGGGCTCTGCTGCTTCTGGATCATAGGCCACTGCACCTCCAACTTCACATTTACAGACACTTCCAACAGTTTGCAAGATGTCTCTATTACTTTTCAGATAACTAAAAATATAAAAACAAGTTTTCAAAAGGTATACCTGTGTTTAACAAGAGGAGGTTGAAGTCCTGATGCAAAAATGAACATTAGTATATTTAAAATGTACCTTATGCTTGATGAAAAATCTCTAAGAAATTGATTGCAAAACACTCTTAATGGTCAATTTTGGAGGATCAGACTGTCGATTGAATGACTTTATTATATTTTATTCTTCCCCCCTCCAATTTTCTACAGTGAGGTTTGACTGACTGCCATCATTGAATTATGGTATATAAGAAAAGCCTAATATGCAAATTATCCCCTCAGATGGTCATTAGACCAGGAGTTCGACCACTTGCTATGACGTGCGCTGACCACCAGGGGGCGGCGTGGAACATGGTGGGCATTGGTGACGCTGCACTGGCAGTGGGCAGTAGTGAAGGCGCTGCTGGCCCTGACGGGCCCAGAGGAGATCAGGACATAGTTGGATGGTGGAGCAGGTGAGCAGGCAGGTGGCATCAAGTCAAGGCAGGGTGCCAGGTGGGGCTGCTGGGCTGGGGGCTGCTAGCCTACTGGCGCTAGCTGGGGCCAGATCTCAGATCTCTGCAGGCCACCCTGAGGGACACCACCAGTGCATAAATTCGTGCACAGGGCCTCTAGTGTATGCATAAAGGCTCATAAAACCCAAAATGAGTTGGGGAAAGCCGATGAGGATCTGCCCCAGAGAAGCAGAAATAAATGTTGCTAAACAACCCAGGCAGCAGCTTAGAAGAACAGGCGATCTGAAAGGCATAGTGTTCCAGTCTGCAGATTAGAAGTTTCACCTGTGAAACCACTGAAGGAGCAATTTAGTGAAGGTGGTTGCTAAGGCAGGGAAGCTGCTGGGGCTGAGAAAGTATCTACCAATTCTGGAAAAGACACAAGTATGTTTTTTCAGACACAAAGGGCGGGGGAGAGGAGGCCTGGCGTGGAAAACGATGCACCACTGCCCTCTACTGTCCAGAGAAACTGAAGGCTGCAAACTGTAGGTAACATCAGTCTGCTGAGCAGATATGCCCAGCCAGGTCTGATCTCCCCAGGGTGCTTATGTCAAAGGGGAAGGGGAGGGGCTTCAGTACCTGCTCAAAAGGTCCAGCAAGACTACTTACCTAGTAGCTCTGGGAACCACCATAACAGGGGCTTGAAGTCCAGGCAACTCAGAAAGTTGCTAACAGGACAAGGTGCTGCATCCCGATTGGCGGCTTCTGGGCACGCGCGCAGGAGTCCAGTGAGGTAGCTGCCAGTCGCAAGCAGGTCAAACTCGTGGCCTTGTGGGTTTCGTCCTAGATCAGGACAAAGAATGGGAGCAGGCGTGAGGACGGGGTCTTTTTGTAGACCCAGTGCTCCCTGAAACCCCTGATCATCCGCCCTCACTTAATGCATCTCCTCTGAGGTTCATGCCAGCTCTGGAACATTGCCTTGTGTCAGTGTCCTCAGGATCCTTAGGGCTGTCTGCTACCTGCGTCTTGGGGTGTTGTCTTGTTTTGGGGTGGTAAATAACATACCGAAAAGCCAACAGCCCTCTGCTTCTAATACCCATGTGCTGATTCCTTGGAAGCCACGTATAGGCTCTGTAGATCCCCTTTGGGTTTCCTCTCCCTTCCTGCTCGGTGACAGTTCAGGAGAGGAGTGATGGTAAGTGCAGGAGCAGAGTCCCTGAGCAGGCGGAGGACCTGGGATGCGGAGCACGCGTGAGGGCTGGCTGCAGGCGGGAGCAGGTATGCTCAGGCTCAGCAGAGACTGTCAGGGCAGAGACCCGCTCGGTTGGATCTGGGACCTGCGAGAAGTCACCCTCATTGCTTCTGTCTTCCCCATTGAAATGGAAGAGGGTGCTGGTGAGTGAGGTAGTGATGGAGGTTGGAGCAGGGTGACAGTGAGAGGCATTGGTCTCTTGTGAGGGCTGAGCCTGTGGCACAGGAAGAGCTGTGATGGCTAGGGACAGGGCGAGCAGGATGGCGAGGGGAGTGGTTAAGGGACCTGTACGTATAGCAGTGGGGCGATTGCCGTTGTTGGGCCTCAGCATCTGGACCTCACTGGTCAGGATAGTCACCCAGTTCTATCACAGTGTACAAGAAAACCTCTTGCACTTTATAAGCGGGCTGGAAGACTGGCAGGGACCTCACTGGTATATCCTGCGCATGCGCACGACTGGCCAATCAGTGCGCAGCGCCTTCAGGAGCTTCCTGTTCCGGCCAAGGGACTTCCTGTCTTTGTTTCTAGGGTTCCTGGGGCGGGACTATGAAAGTGGCATTGTGGGGCCTGGTTCCCTGGAACCCCTAGGCGTGTTCTGTGCCTTTCTGTGCTGTTTCCGTGGTCCGGTTCGTGTTCAGCAACGCATCCCCAGGCTCCGCGCGGGAAAGTCGTGGAAATGGTGTTTTTATTGTGTGTTTGGTCCCGTTCCGTTTCTCTGGTCAGCAGGGGGCAGTCTTGCTCCATGCATCCGAGCTGCTCACCACTCCCCCGCCCTTCCTTCTTAGAAAAAATGGCAGGGCAATTTTTCTACACCAAATGGCGCTTCGTTTCAGAGATTGCGCAGTGCATCCCTGTCCTTTACTCTTTGAAAAAAATCTTTTTCTCTTAGCCTAGGGATGTATGGAGGTAAAGTTTTGCTATGAAAGATGTCTGAAATTATGCTGCCTATGTATTATGCTAGGATTTTTATGGTTTCACGACTTATATTTACGTCTTTTATGCATTTTGAGTTTATTCTTGTGTGTGTTGTAAATTGGTGGTCTAGTTTCTTTATCTTTTCTTTCTTTCTTTCTTTTTTTTTTTTTTGCATGGACCTGTCCACTTTTCCCAACACCATTTGCTGAACAGACTGTCTTACTCCAGTGTGTGCTCTTGCCTCTTTGTCAAATACTAATTGACCATAATGCCTTGGGTTGATTTCTGGGTTCTCTGTTCTGTTCCCTGATCTATATGCTGTATACTTTGTCCAAGGAATCAGATAATAGGATGGTGAAGGCTTGCAGGCAACGGGGAGGGCAGGGCCGGTGGGAGGGGCAATGGGGAAATAAAGAGAGGACGTCAGTAATACTCTCAACAATAAAGATTGAAATAAAAAAGAATCAACTGATGAAAGCTCTTCAGATTTTTCATGAGTTCTCCTTGCCTAGGAGGAGACAATATAGATTAATTAAAATAAATCCCAGTTTTCCTTGCTTCAAGCCCTGTCTCCTTAAACTTTTTTTTCTCTTCCCAGTTGCATCTTTGTTTTTAGTTCCTATAACCCTCAAAATGTAAAAAACAAGGCCTACAAAAACTTCTCTCACCCTAGCAAATTTGGCTCAGTAGATAGAGTGTCGGTCTGTGGACTGGAGGTCCCAGTTTTGATTCTGGTCAAGGGTACATGACTGGGTTGCGGACTCGATTTTCAGTGTGGGGCATGCAGGAGGCAGCCAAACAATGATTCCTTCTTATCATTGATGTTTCTATCTCCCTCTCCCTAGCTCTCTGAAATTAATAAAAGTATATATTTTTGAAAAAAGCAATTTCCCTACATTCTTATATTAAAAACAAAGGATGTCTGTTGCCAAAATAATACAACTACACATGCCATTAGTTAACAAGTATAGGAAAGATTATGACTTGCTCTTTGGAAAAGATATTTTGTAGAAGACTCAAGGAGCTAAAAAAAAAGGACTCAAATTTCTATAGTTTCATTATTTAGTGATTCTGCAGTCATTGCACTTATATAACAGGTACATTTTAGTCTTTTGAATAAGAGGGCAAAAATACATTCATTTTAAAAAGATGGAAGTTTCTCTTTCATTAGGGATAATGAAAGATAATTTTTTAAAAAAATTATAATTTTAAAAAATTATCATGAGAGATAATTTTTTCATTAACACAAGAGCAGGTATAGTAACTTGACAGTGTTGGGGACCTAAGCTTTGAGTTTATTTTTAGTGTGTGGTACTCCTGAGGATGGCCCAGTCTATTCATATCTATAATTTCATTCCTCTCCTTACTCCCTTTCATGTATGCAGGACTGAGCACAGAGGAAAATTTAGAGACCATGTAGTCCAGGGGATATCAAACTCTGTCAAAGTAAATTAAACCTTTCCTGGAATGAATTCTAATACAGACAAGAAAAAAGAGGAGTTTCTGTACTAGGAGCAGGGGCTCTCTCACCACACCCTTTCCTAGATGCGCCCTCCTCTTCAACCAATAACGTAGCTTGACTTCTCTCTCTCTCTCTCTCTCCTTATCTGAGGATATTTTTCCCATTGATTTTTTTAGGAGAGAGTGGAAGGGGGAGAGAGAGAGAGAGAGAGAGAGAGAGGAGAGACACATTGACTGGTTGCTTTGCCCACACACCCCTGTGGGGGCCAGGGATTGAGCCTGCAACCCAGGTACATACATGCCCTTGACCAGAATCAAACCCCAAACCCTTCAGTCAGAAGGCCAGCGCTCTAACCACTGACCAAAACTGGGTAGGCCTTCCCTTCTTAAGACTGAGGAAACAGCAGGCCCAGAAAGCAAAGGGACTTAGGGAAATGGGGAAGGCTGGTAGAGCTGGAACTGGGAGGGCATTCTCTGGAGCCCTGGCCCAA